TTTATTTACGTTCTTATTTATTCTTACCTTTCCTCTCTTCTCCCCATTCGCTACCGACGTTCAGTGGTTATGCGAAGGGCACGCGCAATATTGCAAGAAAACACACGGATGTTGCAAACAAGATTAATATTTCAAGAAGCGCATATTGCCTCCTTGAACACGTGTGTATTGAGGAACTGCAGTGCCATGAGATGACCAAGGCTAATAAGCTGCGTATGAGGAGGAAGCGATAGATGGAATGAGGTTGGAAGGTGGAGCCGGTATGGAGGGGAATGAGGAACATGCGAGGAAGAGGGAGGAACAAAGGGGAGAGAGGGAGAAGAGAAGAGGAATGGAAGAGGGAAGGGAAGAAGGGGAATGAGAGGGTGATGAGGAGAGAGAGATGAGTGAGATAAGAGATAGAAGAGAGAGAGAATATAGATAGATTAGAGAGAGAGATAGAGAGAGAGAATGAGAGAGAGAGAGGAGAGAAAGAGAAAGAGAGAGAAAGAGAGAGAAGAGAGAGAAGAGAGAGAGAGAGAGAGAGAGAGAGAGCGAGAGAGAGAGAGAGCGAGAGAGAGAGACGAGAGAGAGAGAGAGAGAGAGAGAGAGAGAGAAAGAAAAAGAGAAAGAGATGGAAGTCAGAAAGCAAGCACACTCCGCCCCCCCCCCTCTCTCTCGCACCAACTCTGGCTTCTATTAATCCATAAACAATAAACGCCCGTCAGGATTTGCCAAGAAGTTTAGCAAAACCATTTCGACAGGATCTGACACTGACAGGATCCAGTCTAACTCGTCTTCTGATGTGCAATCTTTTTTTTTTGCTTTGGTGTATATACGCACACATGTAAACGCATATAAACACGCGTGTATACATACAGACATACATAAACACAAAACACACACACACACATACGGATACACACACACACACACACACTTACACACACACACTTACACACACACACTCACACACGCACACCACATCACACCACACCACTTACACACACACTCACTCACTCACTCACTCACACACACACACACACTCCCTCCCTCACTCACCAACCCACCCACCAACACACTCCTACTCACCCACTCTTAGGTAAAACTAGTACAAATAGCGACAAATAAGTGACACGTCGACAGACAAATCGTCAAACAGGTATAAATGGTAATTTCGCCCTTGAATCAACAAACCCCACAATGCAAAACCCTGTACAACGAACACCTCAATGAACCCGCAAAACTATGACGTAGTGCAGTTTTGACGTTAAGCCATTAAGCCTTCAAGTCCGCGCTCTCTACGATATAACTTTTAAATCCTTAATGCTTCTAGGTTGATCATCATTATATTTCGCGCATATCCCTAATCTCTCTTCTCCTTCTAATTCTTCCACAGGCTATAAATCAATTAAATCAATCAATCAATCAATCAGTCAATTAAATCAAGCAATCTATCTACCTGCCAATCCATCTATCTGTCTTGAAAAGGTATGAGCGAGAATTGAAGACCCTCATCGCAAGAGGCGTTTTCGACCGGTTATCACGATTACTAAATCGTCAAAAAAAAAAGAAAAAAAGAAAGAAGAAGAAAAGAAGAAGAATTCTCCAAAACATCTCTTGCACTGTGAGGATTATTCGTTCCCATTCACACCTTCCCTACATCTGTCGCAATCTATCTAACAGTATCTTTTAAAGAAGTATCAACATATTACACATATACATAGTTAAGAACACACGAACACAGAAAAATACGTATGATACCGGATGTTAACATATTTATAAATGCTTCTTCCCGGTAGATAATAGGAGGAGAAGAACTATATGATAATAGCAATCATTTTCATATTCCAAGCAGAAATGAATGCCACATTTCATACTACTGACAACTGCATCAGAATTTAATATAGAGGTTGGCAATAACACACACACACACACACACACACACACACCACACACACACACACACACACACACACACACACACACACACACACACACACACACACACCACTCACTCACTCACTCACTCACTCACTCACTCCTCACTCACACTCACTCACTCACTCACTCACTCACTCACTCACTCACTCACTCTCACTCACTCACTCACTCACTCACCACACCCACGCGCACACGAGACGGGTGAGGAGGAGCCACAATCCCTTTCGCACCATTCCTATACCAGCCCGTCACCCCAAGACGAATGTATCCAAATTAGATCACACTTATTCCCAACCGCCGCCAAACCTCAGGCCCCGAACAGACACGAGCGCTGGGCCGTCGCGCCTGTCCCTGTAACAGATCCTCCTCCTCCTCCTCTCCTCCTCCTCCTCCTCCTCCTCATCATCATCATCATCATCATCATCATCATCTCATCATCATCATCATCATCATCATCATCATCATCATCATCCCATCTGTTCATCTCGGCCAAGAAGCTCCGTACAAGTCTGCTTATTCAAAACATTCTGTCATTCATAAATTCGCACGTATCTGCATGAGTCTTGTTACGTGTCTATATAAATATATTTCTCAATTGAGATCATCATACGCTGTGTGCATGTTGATTTGCAATGTTTATTTACGAGTCTGAATAAAGTTCTCGGAAAATGTCAAAATATCCACTCAATCAGTCTTACCCCAGTTATCTAATTATATATATATATATATATATATATTATATATATGTGTGTGTGTGTGTGTGTGTGTGTGTGTGTGTGTGTGTGTGTGTGTGTGTGTGTGTGTGTGTGTGTGTGTGTGTGGTGTGTGTGTGTTGCGTGCGTGTGCGCGTGTGTGTGCGTGAGCGTGAGCGTGTGCGTGTGCGTGCTGTGCGTGTGTGTGTGTGTGGTGTGTGTATTACCTGTCTTACAAAACAATAATACTGGCTAACATAAAGTTCATATACTTTATCAATGATCGCCTCAACATTGGATTATCTGATGTGTACGAAGCACGTTTGGACTAACTAATGAGTAAGATCACGGGGCTTGGGTGACTTGCACAGTTTGCGGCGGGGATAGGAGTTCGGGTTCGTCTCCGAAGTTACAACGTACACTCACGGACGCCCTGACACCCTTCCCTTCATTAGCCGGTCCCGGGCAGAGGCGACCAGGTGACCGTTCACAACCCCCAAACCCACCGCCCCAACCCCAGGTAAGCGTTGTTGGAGACTTGTGTAATGATGTGGGTTGTTCGATCGCCCAGCTGTCATTGACTGCGACTTTGGCTACTGAACTTCGGAGATAAATGTGTTCCCGTGTGTTCGGTATATGCAATACTACATAAAACAGTGCCATCCCCCCCCCCCCCGGCGAACAACGGGGAGGGGGGCGCAGGGAGCTGGTTAGGGAGTCCGTGAGATGGCTCCCCCAACAGATTTTTATGCGTAGTAAGGAATCCCAGCTGGTAAGACCTACACTTACCTTATATCCTAGGCCTATGGGTCCCTATATCCTAGGCCTATGGGGCCCTATATATACACCTAGGCCTATGGGTCCCTAAAATATTTTCATAAACATGGGGAGTTCGAGAAGGTAGAGAAGCTGAGGAACCACTGCTATCCTGCACTGATATCGTACGTGTACTGTATCCTCCTACCTCTTGACATGGGCCACTTTACGGTTTATCTCCATTTAATGTCCCAGTAACGCTCCCGTAGTGCCAGATGGTGCCATGCCCATCTTCGGCAATCTCTAAGAGAGGGGATAACTTTTTTTTTTATTGAGAAAAGAAAGCGACTGCATCATCCGCATCTTGTCAAAGGGAAGAAATGCCAATCTTGAAAGAACTTCCAGCACAGCGAAGACCAAGCACTCCGCTTAGAATTTTGGTGCAAGACACTCTTGCATTTCAGGTTTTCTCAACGAAAGATAAGACTCTGTAATGCGCGCCCCGAATGCCACTTAAGACCGCTTGATCCACTACCTTTGGA